ACATTGAAAACGTCGAATGTAACTGGTTGTCATGCAAGTATCACCCTTTGAAAGTAAGTATTTGATCAGAGCAAATAGTAATCACTTTATCCTATCTTCAATCAGCCAAATTTCACGTATTTTCCCCAAATTTCTTTCATCGCTTTAGTAATAACAACAGGAAACGTTGCCTAATCGGCAAGATGAAATTGGGACGTTTAGACATTTTTAACTCGTGAATACGAGTGATAGAGTTTGGTAGAGATCGCGCTCGGTCGCTCTATCGCTAGATCGTTACGGACGGTCGATCGTTTCTGTAAACATACGGGCATTTCTGGCCTTGGTAGTGGAGATCGGTGGTAAGGAAACGAGATGGCGGCTTTTACAATCGACATCTTTGAGAGCTTTGAACTGAAATGTTGCTAAAACTCATGTGCGTGCATGCTTGTTTTCACGCAAGACGATTTTTAAGGCTTTTCTTCCACGAACCCTTTTAAATTTCCATACTGTCTTGCTTTCTTTCATGATCACATTACTTTTGTGGCTTTAATGTTTCAATTTTCGAAATTGAAACTTATCAACAAATGCATGATGCCCGCTCATTTTTGAATATTGTCGCGTAGTAGAGTTGAATTCGATTACAAAGTTTCAATTCGAGACGTAAAGGATTAATCTAGAGGCATTTGTCCAGATCATACAGTTCGTCTGTTTTCCGTACTCAGAAATTTTAAAATTTTTCTGAAAAGAAGATAAGAGAACGTGTTCGATTTTGTAAAAATGGCTATAATAAGTAAAAGACAAAATACTCAAGTTAAGTCCTCTTTACAATGATATCAATCTTTATTGATATCAATCTCTGTTTAGTTATGTCGGTCCTATATTATGTCGACTTATTTCTGCTTTTGAGCTTCAAGCAATGCCGCTAGGCATAAAGCATTATACGAACCAAAATTATGTTACGTTAGGTCGTGTAATTTGCCATGTATGTCTTTATGAATACTCCCCTCTTAATAGGCCACGTTTGATATATCAACATTCTAACATGGCTCCGAGGCTTTCAGGACAAATGTCTATATTTATTCAAGTCTCTTTTGGGAAGTTGAAGGACCATTTTGTCCTGTATTTGGTATTTACGTTATTGTAATATAATGTATTTCTTTTAAGTTGTAATTGTGGGGTACATTTACCTTTCAGAAATAAAATAAAATAAAATAAAATAAAATCGATTTCTTTTTATACAATGTAACAAAGCAATAATTTGACGTTTAGGAAATATTCGGATAGGAGGAAACTCAGAGCATGGAAACACCAACAAACGTCTCGGAGAAAGAAGGTACGAATAATAAAGGAAAAATAACTGGTAACTAATTATAAAATAATAAGAGTACAAAGTGAAATTACAAGACCGACATGTTTTGAACGCTCGATATAAATTAAATAAACCAGCAGGTGATAAACTGGTTTAAGTATGAAACTGGACTCGACTTAGTCATCCAATACTGATCGGCTTACTCAGTTGAGAAGTTTGTTTGCATTTAAAAATACTCGTCACTTCTTAGATGAATCGACATCAATCGTGCTTAATCTTAAGCCTCTGTTCCCAGAATCGCTTGTTGTCCCTTTGTGCA